GTATCCAGGGTAAAATTACATCATTGGCTACATATCAATATCGTTTTTCTTTCTATATCTCTCTCTCTCTCTCGTAAAATATATATATCTGTACAGTCTATTTCGTTCGAGGGATTATATTCTATGATTTTTTTTTCTCCCTATTTCGTCTCGAATATTCGTCTACTAAAGCGAGAAAAGAAAAATTTTCCTCTGTATATTCATTCTTCAAAGTAAATCATAAGATACTACAGTAACTTATGGTATAACTAAAAGTGAAGAATTAATAGAAATAGATCTCTTTGTTTTATGTTTATCCCTGGCGAAAATATATGAATTCACTTTGTATTTTAGAACGAAAAGAGAGAGAGTGTGTGTGTGTTTTTGTAATCGCAATATTCTTTATCTTTGATATTATATTCGTACATTTAATCACAATCAAAAAAAAAATAACAATTTGAATCAAATTTAAATAAATCAATACAAATAAAAAATGGAATCAATTCTCGGTCGTGGTTATTCAATAAATGAAGAATCTGATTTAGTTGATCAATATTCACCATTATCAAGTACTATTGATGAAGATATAGAACAAGATGATGATTTGTTCTATACAGAAGAAGATAATGTAGAAGAAGATGAAGACAATTCATCTATTGTTCCAACTAGTAATGGAACTCTATCTTCGTCATCAATCGATGAAATTAGTGGTATGGGTTTAGGTAAGTTAACAAGAAAATTTCATTTATGAAGTTTTTTTTTTTATTTAAAAAAATATAAAAGGTGTCTTCAAACCACCACCATTTAAAATGATGCCTTTGGAAGCAACACCACCACCAACACCATTAATTCCACGTCGACTACTTGATTCAATAAATAGTGCAACGAATGCTTTTCAAACAATGACAATTAATTCTAATTTACCAATAACACCACCAAGAAGTGCTGATGTTACTAATACAAATTGGCCATTAGGATGTTCAACGAATGAAATTCGAAACACTAATTTATTATTTCCACGTATTAATGATACTACATCAAAAACAACAACAACAACTACTACTAATTTATTAACACCAACAAGTATTGATCGATATTTTAGTAGTCATCGTCGTTTATCCGATTCAACTTTTCCATCATCAACAAGTTAGTTATATTAATAATTAGAATATTTTTATTATTTTTATTTTCATAGCTCTTGATCTTCCACTTACTATTCCATCTCTTAGCGCTACAACAAATAGACATCAATCAATATCAGCTCAACATACTGATATAACCAATGGTTCGTATAGAAAACAAAAACAAATTATTTTGTTTTAAAGAGCATTCTTTTTTTTTTTAAAGAACCAAATCATTTATATCCATATATGGATCATGTTGGTGATGGTTTATCATCGAACATTGGAACACCTTGTGCATCATCAACAACATCTTGGTCAACATTAATTACTTCAAATGGTACAACTAATGATGATACACTTTCATTTTCAACATTATCTCGACCACGTATTAATAGTAATTCATATGCACCTTCAACACCACAACTTAATTTTAAACCTCTTCAACAACCTTCACCACTTCAACCACCTCCACCACCACCTCATTTGACAAGTTCACCATTTTCACAACGTATGAATGCAACAAACTCACTTTTTCTACCAAATTCAAATCCAACACCAACAAATAGTCCATATAGTCATTCATCATCATTTCATCCACAATCACCTGTTACACATCAAACTCAACAATTATTACCATTACCTCAACAAACACAACGTCCATTATGGCAACAACCACCACCACTACCCCCACACCCACCACCATCATCAACACAACAACAACATCGTCCTTTACTTCCAATTGGTATGCCACCACTTTCTCATTCTCAACCATTACAACAACATCAGCAACAACCACAACAACAAAATCCACCAATAATGAATCAATTTCAATCAAATGATGCTTGGCTTTTAGCAGAAATGACAGCAATGTTACGTCAAAATCAACAACAACAAATGGCAGCTTTTAATGCAAATATAACATTAAGTACAGCAGCACAACAAATTCTTGCAGCTAATACAAATAATAATAATAATCGACCATTACGTTCAGAAAAAATTGATATTGAAATAATTAAACATTTGATTCGAGAAGCACGATGGAAACGAAGATGTGGCATGAAAAAAGAAGTAAACGAAAGAAAGCAAAGTTGCTTTTTTCTAAATAGAAAAAAAAATTATTTTATGTGCTTTCCCTTTTTAGGTTTGTGTTTTTTGTCGTAATAATGGTGAAAATGAACTTATTTATACAAGTCATTCATTAAAAGATTCAGTTGGTAATGTCACATGTCCAATATTACGTGCTTATCAATGTCCAATCTGTGGTGCAACAGGTGCACAAGGTAATTTTATTTATTCTTTTTTTTTTTTTTTTTATTTATAATCTTAAATCTATTTCAAATAGCTCATACAATTAAATATTGTCAAGCAGCTGGTGATGATAATAGACATGTAGCAACTCCGTACGAAAAAATGATTCGTACACAATGTATGCAAACATTTGGACTTGATGATAATATGACAGCATCAATGCCTGCAATTTTTGGACCCATTGGTAGTAGTTCACCAGCTAATAGTCCTGCTTCACTTTGGCCTGCATTGACTGGTGGTTGGGCTGGTAGTAATTTATAAACAAGTAGATATTTTTTTATGCAGTGGCGTAGCTACCCATAAATAGAACTTGTCGAGTTCAAAAATCTGAGATCAATCTATGGACTCTAGTGATGGGCTGTTCGTCAATTGTTCACTATTGCCTATGAATCATTTTTGAAGGACGATTACCTATAGTTACCCATTGATTAAAATAGTTTGAGTAGAAAATTACCGAGTGTTCAAAAATTCCTGGCTACGCCATAGTTTATTTGACAATAAAATGAAATTTTCTTATTCTTATTTTTTTTTTTATATTTGTAGTTGTCAGATAATCTCGGATGTCTTTGCAAGCAGATGTTTTTTGTTTTAATAATACTTTGCAGCAAATAGTTCCGAATGATGAAAACAAGTATGTTTTTTTTTGTCTCTTTATACCAGTGAATTTTTTTGTGATTTATCTATCTTTATGTTTTTTTTTTCTTCGGATGTTGTTATCGCATCATAAGTATTATGAATCATTTTTTTTTCTTCTCTCTCTTCTTTTTTTTTTTGTTTGTTTGTATTGTTAGCGATCAAACAAAAAATTACAAGTGATAGTGATTGTCTTTTTTTTCCAACTTCAGATATTTCAGAGAATCTTTTTCAGTTCTTTTTTTTTTCTTTAGCGTTTGTTTTAGTAGTTTGACTGACCAATATATAGAGTGATGTTTTTTTTTTCTATCAGTTTTTTTTTTGCGTGCGCACGAATTCCATCCATCAGTCGTGTTTAAAGAGTTTATAGTAGTAACTGTATTTCGTCTGTTTGTTTATTTGTTGTCATTATTGTGAGCTTAGAAGATGTAATCTGCTCCTCTTGTTCTTTTTTCATTTTCTCGCTTTGATACAGACAAACACAGTTTTTTTAAGTATTCAAAAATAAAATCCAGTAGAGAAAATGTTTACTTCATTTCATAATAAAATTTATATTGTTTTAATTCTAGTTTATAAGCAGCTTAAATGTTCAAATTTTATGGTATAAAGCCAATGTGATAGACAAAATATATAAAGTATTCTGTGTCTATTGTTCCATAATAACATTTATCGAATTGAGAAAAATAATCATTTAATAATAATAATTTAAAAAAGAACTAATATATATTTATTAGTGAGTGCTGCATGTGTCACAGTTTCCAATCGATGGACGGAACTAGCTTCGATCATCAATTGTTTTTCAAAAAGAAATGATGTCTCTAAAAATCTCATTTTATCTCTGCTAGATCACGTTGTTGAATTGCACATAAGTGTACCGATAGAACTGGGAGCTACCACACACTTTTGTTGAGAGCATAATCATCGTAGTGCATGGTTTTGACAGTTCTTATTTCAAAAGAATGTTTTGAGAATGGTGAGACAAAAACTTACAGCTACTGTCATTTGACAAAGCAATGTAAGAGAGGCATCGAGTTATTTGAAAAACCAAGGAACTTAATCAAACATATACAAGTCTTTTTTAGGTCTCTGAAAAAACATGATAACTACATGTGTAAGTCAATGCATGGATCGACGGCAACCAAAGTTTTTCGATGAGTTTTGTGAAAATTTTCTTAAGATCGAAAAACTTTGAAATGAAAAAGGAAGCAAAAGATGAGAGTGAACTTATTGACAAGAAACTAGACGGTAATATCTCTAAAAACTGAGTTAGGACGTTGAACATTTTGAAAAGTTAGATATCTATCTTTGATCTTACGGTGGCGGTTTTACTAAATCACTTGAGTGTTGGCAGTGGCTTATGCTTCTAATGATAACTTTAAATTCTATAGTGTTGAATTTGTTTGATAAACAAAGCCGTTCGACATACATCGAAATCAATTGATATCTAGAGTTGAATTTCAAAAAAGTAACATTTCTTTCTCTATAGTTTTTAAAAATCACAGTTATTGAAACACTTTCATAGTTTAATTGATTGAGCTTCATAAAATTCAACAACTTCGACTATATTCTTTCCAATACAAATATGCCATTGATAATTTAAATTTAGTTAAACAATTTCTTTAACAGAAAGAGAAATTAAAAAAGCATAATTTTATTATATCTTTTTATGGTTCATTTAATATTTCATTGTTTATTTTTTATCTTGTAGATTGTCTCATTCTATTACATAAAACTTTAATAAAACAAAACATACAAATAAAAAGCAAAACATATTCATGTAACAAAAACTTTCTAGTTATGTCAAATAATAAAATAAAATAATTTATTTTATTTTATTCTTACATACAGAAAAAAAAATGTGTCTTTTTCTGTACAGATTCTTCATATTTGATCATAGTTATATGTATATATATATATAGTAGTGAATAAAAATCAACGAAACAAAAGTTTTTTCTTTTAAACATTAATCATTTCTAATTTTTTTGTTGTTTCATATAATGATTTGGTAAAATTTCTTACTGGCCAATGAATTCCATCACAAAATGGTCTATGAGTTGATGGTAAAAAATTCTTATAAAAAATTTCATACCAATTATTTAAACCTAAAAACATCTTCCAATTTAATATCAAACCTAAATCATATCGATTAATAAATTTTTCTTTTAATTTTTTTAAACGTTTTCTTTCAACTGAATTTGTATGAAATTCAATTGTTGTTTCAGCACGTGATACTAACCAACCATGCCATAATGTAAAACCAGCTAATACTATAAATGCTGTTATAGTAACAATAAATAAAAATAAAAATGTATAAGATAATGATGGATTGTCTACACTAGGTAATACTTCAGCTTCATTTAAATGTTGACCTAATATTAAATCCAAATAGGAAAATATTTTTCGACCAAATAAATAATGTTGAAATTCACTAAAACCTAATGTTGATGCATAAAATGCGCCAATTGTTAAAAAAAAACAAAATTGAAAAAAATAACGATGATTTAAATGTCCAACACAATTATTTATCCATGGACAATGATGATCTTGATTTAATATACATCTGGCACATACGGAACAATGATGAGCACGTGTTGGTTTTGGAAAGATACATTTTCGACAAACATTTTGAGTATAAATTTTTGAATGAATTATTGCATTGGAAGAATCAAGTGGAGTTTTTAATGATAATTGCGTATAATTGGAATCTAAGAAAAATTTTATTAATACTCTAATGAATAATTTCGGATAGGATTTCTAGATGATTTTCTTATAGCCTTTTGTATAAAACAATATTTGATAAGAAATCAATATAAAGTTTTATAATAAAAAAAAAAAAAAAAGTTTGTTTCTTTTCTCATTTTTTGTGAAATCAAAATTTTAATTTAGTAAGAAACTTCATTCGAATTTTCATCTGAAATTAAGCGAAAGATTATATCTCGTTGAAATTCATCTAATTGTAAATTGTCAGTAAGATCAAACTTCAAGTAAAGTTTTTTTTTTTCATAGATGATTGATAGAACGTGAGATGTCGATCATGAAAAACTATTTTTTTAACTTTCATTGATTGATCTTCAAAAGCATATTTTTTTTTAAATCTGAAAAAGTTTCTATTTCACTCTTTCTGTCAGTTTTTACAAATATTTTTTTTGGATTCAACATTGAAAACTGAATATAGGTAAGATGTTAAATCGAGTTTAACTTGAACAGCTTTTCAATGATGGTACCTTGACTAGTACATATTGCAATCTATAAAAAATCGTTTTTGTAACCATATTTAATTTTTCTCCTCAGAAAACTGAATATGTATAGAAAAAAAAAGTATTCTATTCGGAACCCAAGTGAAAAAGTTTGAATCGATTGATATATGTTTTGAAACTTAGTATTGTTTCCACAAAAATTTCTAGCAGCTTTTCAGAAAAGACACTCAAAAAATTAATGTCATTAGAAATTATTAAATCGTGCACCAATAAACTCCAATTTTTATGTTAATTCCGAATATGATACTACTCTTGTATAGAAGTTTAATTTTGTATAAAGAAAAAATGAGAATTTCGCCTATGTATTTCAAGTCTATAAAAAAATAAGTTTATCCAGAAACAAAACATTACAGATAAAAGAAATGATGCGTTCTTTTATGTTTACTGATATAATGAATTGAACAGAATAAAATATTTGACTGTCATGATTAACTAGAACAATTATAGAGGTTTATAACAACGATTTATATGAATTGTGATATGTGCACACCAAGCATTATTCATCGAAAAGCTTTTCAGGTTAGACTCAAAAATAGAAAATTTTATAGATTTTGAAAAAAATTGTACTTTTGCAATTGGCCGTCGAACTATTTGTCTTATAATTTTTTTTTACAAGAAATTGATTGAGATATATGATGTTGATAATCTCATCACTTTTATAGCTCTCGTCGTTTTCTTTTTTTATTACTTTCTGTCAGTTTTATTGTATGTAAATAATTCATTTGAATTTTCTGTAATCTACTATGTATATGAATATATCGTCGGTCTGTAATGATCTTTAGATAAATTCTTAACACAAAAAATCTTATTTTCTCTTAGAATCTACTTTCTAAAAAAGAAAAAAACTTCTCTCATTCATTTGTACAGAGTTTTGACAAACTTTAGTATTAAAATTAAAATAATTTTTATTTCAAACTTCTTACCTTCATTTGTCAAATCTAATATTGTTACTTCATTAGATTTATTATTATTGTTCTTATCAATATTAGCTTGATGTATTTTCATTACATCTCTATTTTCTTTATCAAAATCATATGGTTGTAAATAACCAAAATTTGGTGATGAACCTGGATCAACTCTTACACATTGTATATAATTAAACATAATATTAATTAAAAGCCAATGTGCAACAATAATATGACAAATAAAAGTTAAATAATTATGTTGTGCTTGAATTTCATTAAATAAATGAAGAAATATTGATGTATAAAATATATACACAACAACTGAAATAATAATAAAAAAAAAACATATAAATAATCTTCCAATATATTTTGTCAAACGATCAGTTATGAAAAAGAATGGTTGTAATATTGTATCAATACGAAGATCAATTGATTCATCATCATTAAAATAAAATATTTGATAAATTAAATATAATCGATGACAAAAATATATTTCACATAATTTTAAACATGGAAAAAAATTTCGCCAAGCACAACGACATACACGCATTTGATAAATTTAACCTAGAATAATAAAAGAAAAAGAAACCATATCAATTGCATATGAGTTTTTTTTTTCTGTTCGTTATTTTTTTTTTTTTATTTTATTTGTTTTTGGTTGTTTTGGTTTATTCGAATCCAAAAAAAAATTGCTAAACACATCAGTCTTAACAAGAAAAAAACATAATGGACCAATGACAAAAAATATAAATTAAATAAGTCATGTATCCAATGTATAAAAGACTGATGGCAAATATAACATGAGCAAAAACATTTATACAAATTTTTAAGATGTCAAATTTGTTTCACGTAATTGCTCTTCAACATCATCAAGATCATCTGCAAATAAGTCTTCATCAATTTGTACTGCTTCTTCTTCGCCATCATCTTCATCATCATCATCATCATCATCATCATCCTCATTATTGGCTGTTGATGTTGTATCATTATAAGTTGTAGCTGATGCACATGCACTAGCAACATTACCACTAGCTTGATCAAGCATATTTGCTTCTGCCGCAAGAGCAGCTTAAATTAAACAAAAGAATAAATAAATAGGTATTTATATATTTTCGAGCAAAAAAAAAGTCGTTCTTTTTTTTGTTTCAAACCTTGAGCAGCAGCTACTTCTCGTCTTTGTTGTTTTTCTCGTTCTAGTTTACGATAATTTTCAAATCGATCTTCCGTTGCAATTGTACCCGTATTGTCAACTTCACGAGCTTCTTTTGCCAATAAGTCCATGTCATCTAAATCACGAATAGCTCGTTTTCGAATAGCAGATGCCTAACGAAAAAAAAATAAGAATTTTTTTTTCGTTTTCATTAAAATAAATTAAATATTCATACAGTGGCTTGTTCATTGGCTTCATCATTATTATTGTCTTGTTCTTCTTCTTCTTCTTCTTCTTCATCATCAGATCGATGTCGATAATCAATATCATTATCAGCATCTTCATCATCATTAGCAATTAAATCTGGATTGAATGTAAACATTTCACGACCAGATAAACCAACTAAACGACCATGTTTAACAAAATCATTTCGTTTTTTTTCTTCATCTTTAACAAGTTGTTGTTTTTTTTCTTCAATTTTACGTTTTTTCCATGCAAGAAATGATTCCAGAGTAACTTTTGTTACACAAGCACCTAATGCAGCTCGTTCACTTTCAATTAAATCTTCAAGTGAAATCGTGTCTTTTTGTTCTTCTAGTAATTTTCGATCACGTTTTAACATAAAACCTACATATAGAACAGATTAGAATTCAATAAATCATATTATATAATTCTAACCAGGTGGTAAAGCATGTCTATATTGACAAATAGGACTGTTTTCTAATGATAAAAAAAAAAAAATTAAATATTTCTAATAATATTCAATGAAATAGATAAAAATAACTTACGACAAGTCCAAAACCATCCATATGTATTATTTTCGACAGCTTCAAGGAAATATTTGCATACCTACAATATAGTTTTAATTGATTTGATTAAATTTTCTAAATACATTTTTAGTTCACAAATAATAAGTTAGAAAATTTTGAAATATTATTGAAAAGAAAGTTTCCTCTGTATGTAAACAGGCCTGAGACGGCTTGTTGAAACATGTATTAATGAGCTGTAATGAAGTATCTATTACTATTATCGGCGCCAGAAGTCAAGGCACTCGCATGTTTCTTGAATAACTTTTGATAGGAACAAGATAGAGAACTGTGGGTTTCACCTTTCGATAGCCAACACCCATTTGCATCTTTTCTTAAGCAATGTCTTTTCTGAATTGATCTTTCAAAACCGGGTTTTCCGAAGATCTCTGAAAAATCACGCTAGAACCCTAAAAATTGCAATGTAAACCTATTGATTTTTTTACATATTCGTCATCAGCATGAAAAACTGAGTAGATCTACATCAAATTTGAACGGTTCTGAGAACTTTCTTTTTATCGAAAAATAGGTACGCAAGGGGTGCCTCAAAAAAACACGTCGGTGAAAATATCGTTTTTATTGTTTACTCATTCACCATTTTGCATTTTAACATCATTTTACCAAGTTCGAAGTTTTTCTGAACTGTCCAAGTGGCTCTTTGACCGATTTTAGTTCTGGAGGGTCTCTACGACTCGGTTTTTCGATGAAAAAAAGTTCTCGAAAACGTTCGAATTTTATATAGATCTACTCAGTTTTTCATGCTGATTACGAATATGTATAAAAATCAATAGGTTTACATTGCGATTTTTAGAGTTCTAGCGTAGTTTTTCAGAGATCCTCGGAAAACCAGGTTTTGAGAGATCGATTCAGAAAAGACATTGCTTAAGAAAAGATGCCAATGGGTGTTGGCTATCGAAAGATGAAAACCGCAGGTCTCTACCTTGTTCCTATCAAAAGTTATTCAAGAAACATGCGAGTGCATTGACTTCTGGCGCCGATAATAGTTCCTCGTTTGATATTAACGAAGTAATACTCTAATTGATTAATTGCTTTCAAGTCTAAACTATGTGCGTCATGTAAACTTTAATAAGCTATAAATACTCTGGAAAGAGTTCGAGCCCTTACGCTATCATTCCTGAAATATTGTGTTTTTATGGCTTTTCTTAACGTCAATATTATGGTCACCTTCAAAACACTAGGAAAATTTGTTTTCGAATTTCTACTTGAAATTTTGTATAGAGATAGATCTTAATGAGAATAGTTTATTGTGAAAGTGTGTAATCTTTTGATTTGCTTTTTTTCTAAAATCAGAGCATCATGTGAAAAACAAGTTTTTACCATAGTTGTAAGTTAGGAGAGGAACTGAGTTTCGAAATTTTGCTAATGGCGAAAGTACAGTGAACTCGTGCTAATCGTCATGACTAGGGACGTGTGGAACCATTTTTTTTGGTCCCGGTCATGATTCAGGCAAAGTCTTATGTTCGCCCTAATCTCTCTGGTTTTAATTTTTCGAGTCTCGGTCTTGTTCAAGAGAAAACTATTTCAGAATTTATTCGTATTACATCTAAATTCATTATTATTGCTTTTTTTTGGTTTATTTAGTCAACGACTAGCATTTTTCAAGTCATGTTTCTTGAATTATGTTCTGATTCATATGATCTACAAGATAGTTTGATTAAAACCACAAAATATTGTACTATAAACTTGAATGCCGCCTGCGACAGCTTTCTCGAGACTGTAACCGGGAACGGAACGAAGAATGGAACTAACTGGTTACGTATATCTCTAATCGTGATGTATTTTTCTGTTTGTTTTGCAGGGTATTAGTATGACAATAAGAAATTGATTTACATATATAATGTACGAAAAACTTCACTTGAAAACTGACAGCATTATAGACATAATATAGTGTTGGATTTTAGTTTCAGTTTTAGTTAAGTTTTCTTTTGGGTTTTGGTCTCGCACATTTCTAGTTACGACATAATACTAATATAGGATACATATGAAGGATGGATCAAATGTTGCTAGAATACATATGTATATATTATAGTTTACACTTACTAATATAGACAATAGGAACTCTTTCATCCACGTTTAATATGCTCTCATGTTGGCCAAATGTCACGGGATACCTTGGCGCGAATACAGCGATCTTCCACCGATTGGCAAAACTTCTAATACCCAAAGAAACAACGAACACGTCTGAAACTTTTACAATAAACCATTCCCATTAAGTTCTATTTCTATGGATGCTTCTAAATTGACATTCAAGAATGAGGTTTTCTAATGTTTCGAATGTGGACCACGGCATTAGTTTAACAATACCGTAACAAAGCAATATCCCAACAGCAATAAACTAAGGGATCGAATTGTTTTTAGGATATTCATAACTCCTGACGGTCTATATGAATCATATAGTTTCGACTCGAAAACGATAAATGAATTGGAAAATTTCCCTCGTAAACCTATCTACTAACAACTGAATACATTCTTTTACTATATGATCATAGTCATATGTGCATGCTTATCAAATAAGTATTAATTTCAAAACATTCATTTATTTTTTATTTACATTTACAATTATCGATTTACTGTTGAGTGAAAACACTTAAGGTTGCAAATTAACGAATTAATTCTTTCTCAGAACCAATAATAAACAATGTATTATCTCTTTTTTCATAATTAACAAACCTAAAATCTTTAATGATATCATACTTTCAAACACTAATAAAATTGAAGTTACTCAATTGATTTTGTAGCAATCATTAATTATCTAAGAATCACTAATGAAAACAATATAATTCTCTTCATCTATTAAAGTTCAAAAAAAAATATTCTTACACAGTAAATGAAGTTTTTTTTTTCTAATGTCGAAAAAAAAACAAAGAATTTATTTATTCATAACTTACAATTTGTGTAGCATTTTTCTTTCTATTATCTTCACCATGTCTTCGTTCAACAACTTCTGCTAATTGTGCTTCATCCCAATTAGCCATTGTTTCTATATATAAATAAATCGAAATAAAAAGAAATGTTTTGTTTGTGTGTGTTTTTTTTTCTCATTGTAACAAACCATTTTCTTTATTTCCATTATCACGTGTATCATCATATAAACTTCGTTTTTCAGCTTTACGTTCAATAGCAAGATCATGTGAAAATTTACATTTTGCACCTTTTGCACATGAACCTTGCTTAAAATACATACATAAAACCGATTTTGGATCAGTTCCTAAAAGAAAATAAATATCAATAAGTTTTTAGAAAACTTCAATTATCTTTTACCAGCAGATAATACTTGTTGAGTAATAACAGGTTTAAAAAGAGTTTGTAACTCTACTTCGGCTCTCTTTTTTTCTTCTTTTCGTTTTTCTTTTTCTTCTTGCATTTTAGCAATCTAAAACAAAAGAAAAATAATTATTAAAATGAAAATATTATTTATAAATTAAAATAACAAACTTCTCGAGCTGATTTTCCTGCATTTTGTACTTGATTTTGTACTTGAGCAATAAATTTTTGATTTTTTGAACCTTTTTTATTTTTTAAACCAAATGTTTTATCCTAAAATTTTCCAAGGAAATTTTTTTATATTTATTT